AAAGAAACTCAACCTATGAGTAATACTAGGTGCAAAAAAAAAAGAATTAAAAGAAAAACCCCACAAAAAAATCCATGGAGGTGAAAAAGTGGAACAGAGGATGGTCTAACTAGCTGGGAAAAAAATGAGGCTGCAGAAGAAGCCTGGTGAATAAATAACTGAGGGAAAAAAAGCTGTGACCACCCATTGGCTGCCTTCACCAATACTGACAGATACCTTAGCTGGAGACTCTGAAATCCAATCTGCAGAAAATAAGATCAAAATGTATTTTGAGTGCTGAGATCATCACCTCTTACATAAAAGACTTTTTCAGTCAGTCTGACTGCAGGATTCCCAGACAGAGATTCATTACTTGCACAATGCAATTTATATTCTATTTTCAGAAATCTAGCTTTATGTTACTAACAGCAGCATGTCAGATTTGATTCTCCAGTGGATGACCAGACACAGCATGAAAGCCTGGGTCTTCAACTCTCTCCTGACCCATGAAAACCTTGCATTGGTAACTAATGCTTTCTTGGAAAGAACACAGGAATTCCTCACATGACTATTATTACATAATTTTAACATCACTCAGCACATTATCAAATAAAACCTTTGGTTTCTTAATAATATATAAGTGCTCATCCTATGCTGGAAATTTTCCTTAAAAATTACCTAAGATGTTTCAGGATGGTTTCACAACAAAGACAAGTATCTGTTTGGTACACAAATACTGTCTTGCTTATCAAAAATAATATCTTTTTATTCTTTAACATTAAGGAAAAAAATTATCATGTTATTTATTCCACAGAAGCATTACAAGATTTAATTTCATTGCAACACTTCCAACTTTTTTGGTCTCTTCTATACTAGATTTAAATACTCTTCTTCAGAGATACTAGCAGCTATACCCTCACCAGGACTGTACATGTAGTCACAGGAAAAAGAACTGGTAATATCTTCACAAAAGGTCAGTGCAAAGATAAAATTGAGTATAAAATAAGGACTTTAAACATCAAAAAAAATAAAGGCATGCTTATTTACAATCACCTGCTATACGCAGGACAGTTGGCTCAAACTTGTTGGTCCAACTGTCATTGTCACTCATGGTTTTGGTCACAATCTACACAGTTCTGTTACCTTCAGGGTCAATTTAAGGTCTGTCTTACAATTTATAATCAGTTCCGAAACCACTGAGGCTAGGAATTATTTTTCCTGAAAAATTAGTGGAAGCTCGAGACTGCAGACAGTGCAGCAGAATTATAATCCAACTGCAAGTATTTAAATATCACCCAACCAGCTGACAGGGAATATTAGAAAAACCTTAAAATGCCAAGACTCAGCATCTCACACACTGCAGTAGAGTGCAGGCTGCAGAGATGGAATTTATATTTAATGCAAGATTTGCTAAGAGTGAGCACACCAGAAATTTATAATTAGATGGTAATGGGGACAAATCCTCTTCTGATCAGTTTTACACCAGTAAACTGGTGGTGCTGATCCTAATTTATGTTAGTGTCAGTGCAGAAAGAATTCAACTACTGTCCTAGACAGACCACTTCTTTTCCCTCACATCCTAACCACAAACATGAGACAGCCTAGGATATTTTTAAAATCCACATGTAAAAATATACCTGTCAATCCATCTCTCCTAAAAAAGTTCTTATTTGCTGCAACACATTAAAAAATACTTTGTTCATTCTTTAGTTCTGGAAATTCTGCGAACCCTGCATTTTTGGCCAACCTTTAAATGCAGCCAGGATTCAGCTTTAGGCCTTACATTATCATTACAAATTCCTTCAGAATAACTGCACTGTCTGTTACAACCTAATACTAAACTACTGAAAGTCAGCAATTAACATAGAAGACTTAGTACAAAAATTAAACAGAACTGGGAGCTGCAGTAATCCCCTCAAATTAACACCAGTCCTGAATCAATCACACACACATAAAAAATAATCAGTTGTATCTTACATACATATGGAAAATTTTACAAGGAACAGGTATTCAAGACAGCTGAATTAATTCATACCTACCCACTGCAACCAATGACTTTATTATACAGGTAAGATGGGAGGCCTTTCAGATGAATGTTGTTATCCACATAAACATATTGCAGCTCCCGAGAACGACCTAAATCTGGGTTTAGAAAACAAGAAGAGTCAGGGGGAAAAGGGATGACATAGTGACAAAGCAAAAAAAGCAAAGCAATTCTCTTTAATTATAAATAAGCTAATCAGACTCAATGTAAGCAAACATAAATTAGTACTTCTCAGTTGTAAAGTTTCAGCCGGTGGTTTTATTATGCATAAGCTGAAAAGCTGCTTAGAAAGAAGCCTTTGAAATTACTAAAACAAAACAAAACCCCTTTTCAGTAGCTCTGAAAATCGCATTATAAATAATTTAATTTTAACACTGACAAACCCCAAAGTCAGTTTGAAGCAGCAAAGGGACAATTGATTTCAAATCCACAGTGCATACTTCCAAGTTCATAAGGTCAAACCTGCTTTCATTAACCGGCCCCATGTCACTGAAATCACAGCTTCACTATCTTTGGTAAAGAGGTAAAGACATAAACAAGAATGTGGTCTGTCCCACTCTTTCTTTCCTCCAAGAAGAGAAACTTGTTTGATTACATTAGCCATAACCAAATACAACCAGTAATCATACAGAAACAAGTTTGTGTGATGCGGTAAGTTACAGAACACAGGAAAATACACAAGCATCAAAGGCAGAATATTATATGACATAAGTTGTGTTTACAAGTAAATTATCAATGCATCTGAAGGTGTGCTTCTTGCATTATTTCTGTTAAAATACTCATGGCTGGCAATCAAAAGAAGCAAGTACAGCATGTTTAAGCAATACTTTTCATGGACTAGAAATCTATTAACATACCACCAGATAGGAGCATATAGGCTTGGAATAATTTCACTTGGTTTAGAAAATCAAAGGGGAAAATGGAGCAAAATGAAAAGGGAAAATTTAGACTTCTAGGGAGAATTCTCGGAAACAAGATTTTTGCTTATGAGGAAGATCTAGTCAGTGTAAAACTGTCTGCTATCAAAAGAAAAGCATGCCAATGTGAGACATTTAAAAAGACAAATCAAACCGAACTAAAAATAATATTCTAAAAGAGTTTTGAGCTGGCAACAAAGCTGACATGTAGGATCATCCGGGCAGCCCATTTTGTCTGTAGCTGCTATGCCATTTGAGATACTGGGTTAGGAAAAGACATGTGCATTTAATACAAAGCACAAACCAAGGGAACAATGTCTGAAAGCCTCTCTGCCTGGGAGGGGATCGCTGCAACCCAGACCAACTGCATTACAAAAAAATTAAATCATCAAGAAGTCTGTATGCCTTTCAACTTAAACTTTCATGAGTGTCTTAGAGAAACTAAGCAAGATAAACAAGCATTTGGCTGAATCAGCCACATTGCAAGATGACACTAACATCAGCTAATTCTGATTTCCCATCTTTATCAAATGTCAGTTACCTTGGTTGGCACAAAGATAAGGATAACCAGAGAAATCAGCAGAGCTTTTGTCCCATTTGTAATCATGGCCAAGCACAGAATAAAAAATTAAAACAATTTCCATGATATTCCTATTCAGAAATTCTATCTGGAATAACGATCTCCCTACTATGACAGTAGGCGATACAGTCCTTTTATTAATGCATCGTTTTCTTGTACACAAGAGCTCTGGACACTGCTTAGTGCAGATGATGATATTTTGAGTGATCCCCACCCCAAACTTCTGGTCATCTTAAAATATACTGAATGTCTTCAGCTGTCACCCACTTGAATGGCAGCTGTAAGCACCAGAAACCTTAAAAGCTCAAGCTGAGGAGAAGCTTCAGAGGGTGTCAATTATCAAATCTTGGATATAAAGAACAAGTGATGAATACCAACAGAAAATGAATAGATTCCTTTTCCAAAATAAAAATGTTAACATAGAAAAGCTGAGGGTTTTGGTTTTCATTTTCTTTTAATACAGGCTCTGCAACAGAATGTGGAGGCTTCATGGACCGTAATCTGGACATTGTTCAAACATCGGAGTCACTGGACATCAGGGGTCATGTTCAACCATCACACACTTCTTTGACCCTGTACCAAAGACGTTCTAGTTCAAAGAGCTATCTCCTGCATCCATCAACTGTCCCACCCCGAGAAGCAAGTACAAATATCTCTGTTGACTGATGGGCATTGCTGGGAGATGCTACTGTGCATCGGTATGAGCTAACACCTCACAAAGATGATTTATTTTGGCTCAGGATTGCAGGGCTTAAAATAGTTTAGTAAAGTCCTGGGGTATTCTTAGATGAAACAAAAACTTTGTTATCTTAACAATGAATAAAAATATTGCAATACTAAAGCACTGTAACACCATCAACTACTGTAAGGCTGGGAAAGAATGAGCCAATAAAGTGTAAAGCAGATAGCACGTGCATGGCACACCTCATGCTTCGAGAATATCGCCTCATGTTGCAGAAGCCAATTATACCCAGAAGAGCAGAAAACTATGGGTTGCTGGGGCAGCTTGAATGTGCTACTGTTTAACTTATTAACTTAGAGAATAGAAGAAAATTTTTAAAAGAGGCTCATCTTGCTCATTTCTACACAGATGTATGCAAATGGGTTGAAAATCAGGCAAGTCAAAAAAAGCCCTAAAGCTGTTCTTTTCATATGCATCGAGGGGGGGGAGTTAGGCTGCATCTCATCTCTTCCCTCTGTCTTTATCTTATGCTATGTTTAGAATCGAAGTTCTGAGTTGACTGCATTTCCTAGGTAATTAAAGCAAATTTTTGGATGTTAGACAAAATATCTCAGTAGGAAAAATTCAATTCCCCAAGCCAAATAGCCTGTAACTATAAATGTTCCTTTGATATAGTTTCTTTGCATTAAATAACCAAGCATCTTCTAGTCCCCCAGAGATTTTTTCCAGTTTCAAATACTACCCCTAAAGTTTAAATTTAAATAAATCGCCACTTTAAAAAGCTCTTTGTATCCCATCCACATTAATTTTTATGTCTTGTATCAGTCAACAAATATTGTTAAAAGTTCTCTAGAAAACGGGCTTCTGAAGAACTCCATGAAATAAGGACACTGTCCATCGGTGCAAGGCTACAGCTACAAAGAAGGTTTTCATGTGGCTTTTGCCAGCCCTGTACTGTGTCTAAAACATTTCCACTTTCCTCCTTCCAAGCTCCCAGATCAAAGCCCTTTCTCCCAGAAATGACCAAATGCCATAAGTCCTGAACAAACCCCAATTCTATTTTTTCCCCTATTTTCCCCCTTTTTTTTTCTTTTTTTTTTTTAACCTCAGGGCCCTGGCATATGCATTCCACATGGCTGAGGATGGAACAAAAGCTCTTGTGTGTCTGCACTGATGCTCTTTTAACCATAGTGTAAGGGCAAGGACACAAAGCAGCATATACTGAGGGTAGAATAAGACCTTTGTTTACTGTGCACTGATAATTACTAGACCCGTTTTCTAAACAAAAAGTGCACATAAACCCTCAATAAAGTGATATAACACTGAATATTTGCTGTCATAACATCCCCTGTACTGCCAGTACACTTAAGAATTTATGGCCTATTTTAATTATATTTGTACTTTATTACATAAATCATTTTTATTTCTGCAGTGTCATCAGATTCAAATTCCTGCTTGCAGTGGAATTTGTTTTGAGGCATTGGAGCATCTGCTAATGGTAAAATCTTCAAGTTAAATTTCTGCCACAGGATAATTTATATTGTAAGTAGAGTGATATAAAATGAGCACTAGTTCTATCTGCCATTCAAGACCAGAATTCCAAATGCTATTTATTAGTGCACCATGAAAGCTAGCCTGGCACTAACTGTACTGTCCAGGATGTAGTTTCCAGTTCAACTTACACAGACAGTTTGGGTTTCTTGTTAAATACATTGATTAAGAAGGCCCAAAGTCTCACATCTATTCAGTCTTGTTTCTCTGAATATAAACTGGAATATTCATTAGCTTTAAAAACGTGGGGTTTTTTTAAAAAACAAAATACTGACATATCCAAGAATTAAGTATATTCTGCAGAAAAATATTACTATTTCATTAGTTTACCCACCTAGTTCTGAAAGTCACAGTGGGACCAGGTATTTTTACTCTCTTTTGTAAACTGGATTAATAGTGTCACACTTCTTTTTCTTAACAGCACGTGCCCACAAATTATGTGCTTTGTAAGAATGTACAGGACAAAAAACTACACCGTACCGCTGTGAAAGTACTGTGCTACTGCAGGAATAAATCCTACACCTGTCAAACTAGAAAAGGAAAATGCAGATTTCCATTACACTTAAAAAAAGGCTCTACTGGCAGTTACAAGGAATGCTAAAGAAGCATGGATTCCTTGGCATAGTAGATGTCAACCACCATATGAAATAAATAAAGTAAATCACACTTTAAAATGCATTAAGCAGTAAGTTCCAAATGTATTTCTGCTAATATTGACGTGTCTAATCAAAAAAGGGGGAAAAACCCTATTCTGTCAGGAGATAAATAAAATGTCAGCTTTCCAATTCCCTAACTGAAAAAAATTGTTTGACAATTTTTGCTGGAGTATCACTTGTAGATATTTCTACAGTATTTTTCTGTTATTTAATGTTTTTACTCGTTCATTAACCAGGAAAGTGAAGTTGGATGTAAAAACACACACACAAAAAAGCATCAGCCAACATGTGCAGCTAGCAGAAATAATGCTACAATTATGCCTTCACTTCAGGAATATTCCAAGAAAAATATTTCCCCATAGATCAGGAGATAGTACATTAAAAAGCAAAAAGATTCAATCTAACTCTCTCTTCTACTTCATTTCATCACATCTTGACCACTCTGAAGCCTTCTGATTCTTCAGAGGAAGGATTAAACATTTACATTTATACTGTGCTGCTTTTCCTCTGAACTCTAGGATTTATGATTCAGTTTCATATCCACAGATAGCAAATTATCTCCAAATGTTCACCAGTGAGTCACTATTAAGAACTACTGAACAAGGTCAATTGACAGTCTTTGATGTTTCCCGTTATTTTAAAAGTTCCTTTTGAATGTTTTGAATTTAAGTCTAAAAATAAAGAAAAAAGAAGGTGTGTCATTATATTAGAGATTTATTTCCTCCTTTTGAACTTAAAGCACTTCAGCAGATCTATACCTCATCCAGGTCATCGCTCCCTCACAGATAAGCTACTAGCACAAAAGTACCCAAAACTTTTGCCCTTTAATATTTCACATCTGATCTTACAGAACAGCATCTTATTTTTGCAAAAAGAAGAAGATTCAACTTCCTGTCTGATGAAATGGAGTTAGAAGTACTTGCCAAAATGGGAGAAGTTACTTCACTTGGTTTATGGAGTACTGGGGAGCCTGGATGATGCATCCTGGAACTCATTTTCTCATTTATATAATGACATCTGTTGGGACATAACTAAAACACTATGTCTGGAGACATTATTTGCACTTACTTTCCAGGAATATAAATGATGGTGCTAAGAAAATCAGAAAGATCATAAACTTCTTGAAAGACTGAATTTCTAGTACTGAAAATATGAACTTATACGGTGTAATTCATTTAGAAATTATCTTGTTTCTAACCACCTCAATTTTCAGCTGCTTTTCAATGTGTTCATCTGTACCTAATTAACACCAAACTCAGACTGTATTCTAGGAAAACTATTAATGGCTATGCAAATGACATGACAGATCTTCATAGCTGTCTGTATTTCAGCAGAGATTAGCTGGTGGCAGGGCTACAAAGTCACAAATGCAGGGAAGTGGACTTGCTTTTCGCAAACAGAATATACAGTCCACACTTACTGACAACACAACTGACTTCTCACAACAAACCACCACACACCAACTGCACCTCCTACACTTGAAGACCTGCTTCGACACTTGCAAACTTTGAAAGGGCTGAGAAAAAGGCTGATAAATTCTTTCCTGGGCTACTATCGTGAAGGTTTTGAAGGATGCCTATACAGAGCACAAACTGAACCTGTGCTGGATTATGCAGTACTGACATTCCTAATGATGAAAAATTCCACAGTTAGTTTTAAACCTGAGCTGAAGATTCTTATTTAAATCATCAGATCCAGCAAACAGAAACAGATCATTACCCAAAGTGGTGGAACTCAGATTACATAGTACTATATTTAAACACAGCATCATTTCAACTTTTTTCCCCTCAGTTAGCTAAAAATAAAGCAAATTTGGTAGCTGACCTATTGCTTTAAAACAGACATGAAACCTTAACCTGCATTTCTTTTTGTTTAATAACGTGTTTTCCAACAGTACGATCATTGTGATAACTCCATAAACAGAGTTTGCGGAGACCACCGAAGACAGGAAGTTTGTTTTGCCATGTCTCCTCCGACCCACCCCAGCCCAGGGATGCTGGTGACTCACCAAGAGGCAAAAACGCGAGGCGGTTTCCAGCCATGGAGAGCTCATTGAGGCTCGGCAGTTGGCACAGATGGCGGGGAACGTACCACAGGTGGTTTCGGTCTGCAGTCAAGTACTGCAGCGAAAGGCACATGTGCAGCCTTTCAGGTAAGGTTATCAAGCGATTGGTTGAGATGTCCAGGGTTTGCAGCTCCCTTAGGTCTCCAACCTCTACAATCCAAACAGGAGGCATTGAGAATCGTTAATTTTCACAAACAAGACCCCCCAAAATATACCACATAAATATAAAACACAGGTCATTAGCTAGCTGTGCTGTTCTTTTAAGATACCGTTCTATCAATCTGCGTTGAGAACTGATACTAATAATCTCAATCATCTTCACATTTCACACCTTTTTGGTGAAGAACAGTTACCAGTTAGGCAGTATGTCTAAATATGAGATGTCTCAAGTAGAGCATTCCTGAACTGTGACAATTACTGCTGTCAAAATTATCAAGCACTTTCCCAGTCCTAAATCAGAACCAGGAAAAAACAACCCAAAACACATTACATAGCTTGCTGTTATTGAGGGTGTTTTGCATGACCCCAAACTCATGCAAATGGAGTATCTTTTTCTTAAAAAACAACATTTGAGAATGCAATGCTTATATCCACCTTACTTAAGATTCTCTTGCAGTGAGACTTACAAATATATGCACAGCACTTCCTGCTTAGTGACAGTCTTTCACCAAGCATGCTTAGGAACAACAGCTGTGTCTTCATAATACAATTCAAAAGACCTGGTTTCAATTAGAAGAGAAATTTCTTAACCTATAAGTTATGTTATATCGTAAGAAGACATCACAGTAAGTTCAGCCTCCAGTGTTGCAATAATTACAGTTTCTAGAGATTTTCTTTTTTTAACATTTGAAAGAATTTTACAAGTACATTTTGTGGTTTAAATAGTACTGTATCATTCTGTTACATAGCTCACAAGTAAAGTTCTTAGAAGTCTGCAAGAAGTGATCACACAAGTAGCCTCACCTGTGCAACAGTTACTTCCCTTGTGTCTGGCCTGTGGGACCAGGATGCACTTACCAGGGACTGACTGACAAAAACATTAAGCAACTTCACAGGTTATTTCATTCTTTATTCTTCTGCAGTTACTCAAAAATTGAATAATTCTGTAAGTTATTTTCCCCAAACATGGAGAAACTCTAAACAGTTTTGCTTTGGATTTGAATGCTTTACAGCAATGGAACTAACTCATGAAGTGCTCCGTGCCCCTAATTCTTACTGCAGTTCTCAGCATCTTGCAGAACCAAATGTACTTTGCTCTTGGCTGAATGAAAGCAGCTCTTGCATCTGATAGCTGCTAAAACAAGATTCGCTAGAATTTTCTGCACTGAAAACACCAGACAATCTACACAATCCGCAATCTGCACAATTTACAGCTCCAGCACCCGGGGTTTTTTTTTAAGATATAAATAGGATAACATTGAACTGTTGAAGTTACAGCTAAACAGAACCTGTTGTGCCCTTAAGTTTTCTCTGCAGCAGGAGCTAGAAAATTCACAATTCCCTGAGCTCTGAGGTAGCACCTTGTATACTACACCCAAAGAAGAAAACAAAACACCAGGTTAGCTTCAAGCTGTCTTCTACACAATGGGAAAAAGGAACAGCAAATCTGAAGCTGACCTTGGGAAAAACTGCTATAAATGTTACTGTCAAGACTGAAAACATGAAAAGGAAGAAAAGGGCAGTTATAATTCAGTATTATATGGAAGTCCTAATTAAACAAAATGTGTGTGCACATTTAAAAGGGAGTTTCCGCTCACTGCAAACAATCCCAGCATTAACTACAATAGAGACTCAACAACATATTATAAAATATTACTGACAGAAGCAGCTGCTATGCACAGATGACCACATTCTTCAAACCTCTTGGTTTTGATGTCAACAGGAATCACAAGCTTTATTTAAAAAGCTGTTTTGGTTTTTGTCTTTTGCTACAAAATTGAAAATAAATGGCAAAAGCAAAATAATCACTACTGAATAGCAAAAGACTACTGTGCAAAAGAGCTGCAGTAGAACTCATTTTGAAAGAGTTTTATATTCATCACAAAAGCTTATGCTTGAAAACAGTGACAGGAAGAGCCACCTACATGCAGCCAAACCACTGACCACATGCAGTCAATAACAGGGCTAGCTATTTTCATGCACTAACCTTTTTCTCTGCCACTAAAAACAGTTTTCTAGTTCAGTTTAGGTCCAAAATGCCATAAATGTTATGGTTGGCAAAGCTGGCAGAGTTTCAAAGGCATTGCTAGAACGATATGTTTCAAATCTAAGAGGAAATAAAAGTATTCTCACTTTATCCTTCATCCAAAAAACACATACTTGCCCAAAACTTCATCCTCTCTACCTTAACCTTGCAATGCATACCAGATGTAAACATCCACTTTCAGCATAGTGCCATATGTTACAGAAATACCCACCGACCCATGATGAAGTTAGAAAGCCAACCAAAGTGCCATCAGATTAAAGATACAACCCCTCACACTCCCCACCACAGTGCTGAAAACTCATTTTGAAGAGCATGCTCAGACATTTACTAATGACACTAAATTATCTTCTATCTCATTAAAGCAAAGGAAAACTGTTAAGAGGAATAACACAAAACATAAACAGTCCATTATTAAGTTTTTCAAGCTTTTAGTTACTAAATATTATTACCCATGCCATAATAATCTTGCAACATAAATACTGCCTAACAAGCAGACTGAAAGACTTACAAATCTCTCTCTTGCTATCACCTCATCAAGCACTAAGACACATATGAGATGTGGACTTTGGAAATTTTGGGCAGACCCAGGAAAGAAAACAGCTATTCCCAAATAAAAAGAACTGAGGAAGAAGGGACTTTGATTCATATTGTCCCTGTGCCCCCAAGGATAAGAAAGAGACAAGCAGTATACATCACCATTAAAGCACACTGAGGAGTGCCTGCTACTTTTAAATGAAATTCATAAATGTGTAATGTACAATTTATATTAACTCTAGGATTAACACTATCAAAATTAACACGGCAGAGCACTGAGCCCCATTTTGATATCAGAAGCCAGAAACAAAATCCTCAGCAGTTTTGCTAAACTCCCAACTCTGAATGACCTGGATCTGTGGAAGCACCCACAGAGTCCAAACGTGAAGTTCCTGTGCTGGTTCTTGGACCCAAATGTTTCAGCCATGTCCATCTGCACAGATTACTGCCTTCACATCTAGCTGGGCAATTCTGTGGCTTGGCCATATGGTACAAACGTGTTCATGGCATAGTACACATGGAGTGGCTGACAGACTGTAAATCCACACACAACCCTTACCTCACAAACTTAAACGCAGGCTTATACCCAGAGTTCTCCTACAGCCTTCTGAAGGCAGCTTCAGTGACACAGACGTACACAAAAACACTTCAGGCTATATTCCAAAACTGCCAGTGCTCGAAAGATTAGTTCTTTCTAATCCTTGATAATATGAAGATTCAGAAGCGATTACCATGACTCCAAAAAGCAGCCTTTGCATTCATTGTTACAGCTTTCACAAGCACTTGGAGAAAGGGACAATGAACTGTCATCTTACGCATTTGGGTTTTCAAAAGAAAACTGCCAAATAGGTCTGTGTCTCAACACAAAGAGAAATGAAACATCAGCACACCTAACAAAAAAAAAAAACCCAAAAAAAACCTTGAAAGAATTCCAGGAAATTTCCAAAATTACTGGCCTTCTGACAAAAGTGACTGTATTTGTATAGACACACCAAGCATAAGGAAAAAAGAAAAACTATTTCTGATTAAGGTGGTTTAAATGCCACTTTTAAAAATTAATTCCCATGGTTTTACACGAAGGAAAAAGCAGCCATCTGGAAGTAAGCAGCCCATACAACATACAATAATTGCTAAAGGCAATTCAAACTTCCTTAACCTTCAGGGGTACAGGCCTCCCCAGCTGCATGACTCCAAAATAACTAACAGTCGTCTTAACGTTTCAAGACCAATCCCACCTTTCCCTGACGGGCCATAACCCCAGATTTCATCCAAAGATATATGAAACACATACACGATTGGATCTGAGTGTATGTAAGTTTTACTTTAAAATCAAACACTATCTGGGTCTTTCCATCCAAGTAAAAGAAAAAGGGGGACAGGAAACGGCTACAGACCTACCTGCATGACAATGCACCTCAAAGCAGGGTATTAAGAGAAAGCAGAGAACCTACAAGGAATGGAAAAAGGGACTGATGAGCAAAGAGAGCTGGTGCTTAGAGGTCAGGCTGCAGAAGTTAAATGAAAACTGCCAGGAGGCCAGGAAAATGGGAACTTGCAGACAAACAAAAGGTTTCTCAACAAGAAATACAGAGCAAGGAATGAAGAACGGGTGTCAACAAGGGGTAGAAATTAGGAGGACAGAACAAATATTAAATTAGCTTTTTGCATCATTTTTTCCTGTAAAAATAATGCTGTGTATAAGGGCAGAGACAGAATACCTCATGGGAACAAGGACAAAGCACTGAAAATTACCACATCCATTACTAAAATGAAATGAGGCTGCTTAAAAAATTTCCATCCCCGAACACTGAAAAAATGGGTTATTATACCGAAACTGCAAACTCAGGCACGAGGATTCTCAATGAACAGGACATTTTCTGGGATAGCAGCCTAGGTCTGGAGAAGAAATGTAGAACCTGTGTTGAAAAAAGCCCTGTTAATGCGAACTCAGTGCTGTTCAGTACCTTCTGACAACTGTTGTAAGGGGAATGCAACCAAGAGTAACCAATGACTACAACATAAATAGAAAGCAGAATGAAAGTGCAACCTGGATCTTTCCAGATGTAAATCATGTTATACTGACTTATCTTGCATTTAAAGTACTGGTAACATGGTAGAGAACCAAATTATCATACAGGAAGAAGAACAAGAACTTTTAAACTTAAGTGATTGAAATGGAATGAAAAATAACAGAAAATAAGCATAAGAAGGTGCTGCAGGTCAGGTCTCTGCTTTAAACAACAAAGGAAAGAAGGGACTGGGTATACTCGTTCACTATCTGAGGGTAGTGAGCCACAAGTGAAAATAAGGCAATTTCTATATATAGCCAGCATTTTATTAGGAGCAAGGAAATATGTTAATACACCTTTGTACTGCAGGCAATAATGATGGTCTCGCTATTAACATACAA